CGCCCTGTTGCGACTTCCTGGGGATTCCGGGCTCCGCACGGCGGTGCAGGTACCACGCCAAGCGAGATTTCCGCCTCAGCTCCGGGTTCCCGCAGGAATTTCCGCTGGTCGGGTTTACGGTTTTGTCACAGCTTTACACGGTCGTGTTGTCTACTTGTTCCTTAAAATAAAAGAATGCGCCCAAACACTACTCGGGTTTTATCACTTAATTTTTTGAGCTCCGTACGGTGCAGGTTACACGCCACGTCTGTATACCGCAGCTCGTGGTTCTCGCAGGAACTTCTGGTCATTTCTCTGTATTCAATTTTCGGTTTTTGTTGAAGATTTTAGATTTTCGTCGATACAGAACACGAATTTTCTTTTTCATCCATACCGGCGACGTAAACCATCATGTTTTTCCGTCAATAGAATTATCACTTTTTCGTATTTAATTTTTATCATAAGCGTATTTTAAGTATAATATCAATGAATGTGCTGCTGTAACACAAAAAATGTTGATGTACATGGAATATGTTTCAAAATACTTTTCATTTTTGACACGTACACATGTGTGACGGGTACGTGACAAATAGTTTGGTACTCTTCATTCCAGTGCACTGAATCACTGCTTCCAATATAAATTTTATGCTCTAGTGATGCAGAGGACTTGAGGTCATCAACAACACATTCCCTGAGAGAGAGTATTCAGTGTTTCCTGGCGCATAAACTACTGACGTTAGTTCCGAAAGTGTAGTGCATGTTATATCTCCGTTGATGATGGCGTTATTCCTCCGTTGGAACATGAAATCAGGCGCAAACCTACAAATCGGTTAGCGGGGGTTTACCTCTCCAGGAATTTCCCCTACCGGGACGTCGTCCTTAGCCAAGATATGCCGTAAGCTCCCGACTGGTCTTTAAACATATGTGGCAGTGTAGTTCATGTGTGTGTGTAAAGAAAGAGGCTGGGGGCAAGAAAGAGAAAGGGGAGTTAGCGCGCTGTCATTAGCGTTTATTGGAGTATTGCTCCGGCATTCGCCATATATAGATTACGGAAATCATGGAAAACTAACAACTGGTAACCTAGTTAGACAGGCAAAAGTCTGATTAATCTGATCCGAAAATGCCTAATACATACATTATTATTATTATTATTATTATTATTATTAAAGATACATTGATTGATGTTTTGGGGTATGCCAACTGGTAAGGACCATTACGCCTGAAGTTGACGGTGTTCCTCCCCGTGTGCTCGGTGAGAACCAGCGCCGACACCCTACAGGGTCAACGGGATATTCCATTCTAGGTATCTCCTCAGAGCGAGGCACCTCCGAGCCAGATACATTCTAAACTTCTGAGTGGTCTCATTACTTGTGTAGTGCATGTGAGCGTGTGTGTAAGGCGTCCGAAAAATCCGTGGCCCTTTTGTTAGGGTACTGCTCCGGCATTCGCCTGATGTTAGTTGGAGAAGCTTCGGAAAACTACATATCAGAGCAGCCGGCCGCTAGAATTCTCCTCCATACAACGGCTGAACTCAGCCCTGTAGCTAGTGACGAAAATCTGCCAATGTCGGGACTCGAACCCCAGGACCTCCTGGTCAGAGACAATGCAGCCAGCGGCAATGAGGCAACGTTCCTGGTTAGAAAAGAAGCGATGAATCAGGAGAGAGTACAAACAGGAAGCAATGGACAATGTGTGGATGGAGGACATAGGAAGAGATGGTCGCAAAGAGTGAGGATGCCGGGAGGCCAAGAGCAGAATTGGGTTTCGGGAAGGGGATAGGAATGGCGGACGTAGAAACGAGAGAACGGTGTAAGATGAGAGGGAAGAGATAAAACCAGAAGAGGAGGGGAGAGGGAAAGTATATATGTTCATTGAAAGTGGAACGAAGATTGCGTGGTGACGATAATAATACAATGCAATTCGTGTACGTCTGTGAAGCCGTATGGAAAGAGTGGAGGCAAGGAAGATTAGGGCATGCCGGGAAGAGGAGGTGATGTTGGGGAGAGAAGGTTTCGAGAAACTGATTGTAATGTGAAGGAAATGTTGAGGATGTTGGGGTGGGTATGGAAGTCAATGAGATGGGGTAGAGAAGGGTATAAAATGAGAGGAAAGAACTGAAACTAAAAGAGACGAAACTACAGATTGAGAGCGGAAAGAGAGATGCGTTGTGAATGGAAGGCTGTGGCTGAATGTCGGGCGCGTATACAAGGAGAGAAGACAAGAGAAATTGAAAGATGCCGGGGAGATGGATGGAGATGACGAAATTGGGGAGAGGATAAAGTTTTAGTGATATGAAGGACAAACTTAGGTATGACGTGGTGGGGATGGAAGTCAACGAGATGGCGTAGAGAAGGATGTAAAATGACAGGAAAGAGCTGAAACCAAAAGAGGAGGAGGCGAAACTACAGATCGAGAGCGGAACGAGGTGTGCGTTGTGAGCGGAAGGCACTGCCTGCCTGGGTTTGGGGCGGCGCGTGCGTGTGAGGCGGAGGGGAACGCAGGTGCACGCAGCTCGCGGCGCCACGGGACATGCGTTAACGCGCCCCGCCCCGCCCCTCCCCCGCCAGGGCGCATTAGAGCGGCGAGGGCGAGGGCGCGGGTGGCGGCGCTGGCGTCGCTTAATTGTCCGGGGCATCAGGGCGCCCGCCCCGGCGCGGGGCGCGGAGGAGTGGGGCGGGGGCGCATATGAATGAGGAGCGGAGGGGGGGGGCGCGCTTCGGGTCGGGAGTCAACGATCAGGAATATGCGCCCTCGGCTGCGCTGTGCTGGATCCGCAGCCAGGGTTTTTCCCGGACTTTTTCGGGTTTCCGTTCGTGAAATTTTCTATTTCAGCACCCACGCATAGAAACTAGAACCTACCTTCGCTGTTGTTGATTGGAAAGTCTTATTTTGTGGTATACGATTACGTTAAAACAGACTTTGCCATACGAGAACCGTAAAAAATGGCTATAAACTGGATAGTGTGAAGTAAACAAAACACGAGCGACATGAATCGTCATTACTGCCACATCTCATTTTGAGAATGATCCCGTAAGCTTGCATGAATTCGTACTAAACAATAATGTACGGACCGAGAGCGTCTTTGGCATACTTATTTCAAAATGCAGGATTCGGATTCTATTATCGCCTGGTTTGTCAACATTTCGTTCGTCGCATTCTGTACTTGTTACGTAAATAACTATTTTCCAAGTACATAAGTACATAATATAGAGCTGACGTTATTTTTCAAAGCATAATTTATTTTGCAGAATGCTCAAATGAACTTTATAGTCATTCCTGGATACCACGTTGAATTACGAAAATATATCATGCTAACAGGCAACATGGTGCCCAAATGTGAATGAGTATATTGCTGTGTTTATTATTGTCACCAAGTCCTAAGGAAGAAAATATATTTTTCCAAATATCGGCAAGTGGGAATGAATGTTTTTCCATATTTTAACCAATACCTGTAAACCTGTTACACTATCAACAAAACAAAAGCAACAGGCTGAGAGGGCTTGGTGGCGGTACTACCCTTGTTTTTGCATCGTCTCTGACCTGAAGTTCGTTGTGTTCGAATTACGATGGTGGAGGAGTTTTCTACACTATCTACAACCACAGCTAGGTCGAATTCAACCCCTGTTCATAGGAGAATAGAAGTGGCCAGCTGAGTAATGAGCAGATCGATAGATTTCCATGGTTTCTCCGATAAATTCCAGACAAATTCCGAAACAGCTCATAAACGGGTCATAGACCGCGGGTGATCTTTTCTTTCTTATCCTTGTCCGCTCCTCTCCTCACACACAAACTCACAAACCGCTTCTTTCCTCACATACGAGTACTACACTTCC